GCAAATAAATACCTGAATTTCACCAAACACAGAACACTGCAGTAGGTAACAGGTTTTTATATTTCCATATAAAAAGGGAAAGAAACTCTGGCTGATAAGAAAAGGGCCAATCAGCATCTGAAAATCCTTTCAATTGCTCCCCCTTGAAATGTTTTATATAAGCATATCAGCTTCTCCTCTGGATGCTACAGATACCAATCAACCACAAAGGAATGGGGAGATGGATTTATATCAGTGTGCTGCCACACAAACTTATTCTCAGTTTCTTTAATTCCTTTACAGCCATGGCTAAAACAACTGCTGATCAAGTCCAGAGTGACGCTACTCTTGAGTTCTTCAGTGAAATAGTAACAGGACATTTCTGTCTCCTACTGTTTCTATTAAAAAAACAAACAAAAAGCAGTTTGCCATTGGTATCTTTAGTCTGTACAAATTAAATCTAATAAATATTTCCAGATTAGACTGAACTGATGAGATAATCTTAGATGCAGTTTTGTCCTTCATCACGAGCTACATCTCTATTGTTAACACATCCAATAAAAAAACTCCTAACACCAAAGAAAAGCAGAGGTACCAATGCTTTAAGTGAAATGGTACTAAGTACAAAGATGTACTGAAAGAAATGTAAGCCAGCAGACTATGATCATCTTTATGGTCTTGTCACATCAATACCTGCATTTCCTCCTTGATAAATCCCCAAACTCCAGATTTATAAGAGCTGCACCTACATCACAGGCTTAAGGTTCTCCTTCTTCCTTTCTAACACATCTTCTTTCTTTTCTTTTGGCATGGCCTCTTATTGCAAGTGTTTATGAATATTCTAAGAACTTCTAGCTCTCTCTAAATGACCCTTAATGCATCCAGGCTAGTACCTGGGTAACTTTTACTTTAAAACAAAGTTTCCTCTGCCTGAAATATTAACACAAAATGAATTCAGAGGCCTTTATACAAACAGGAAAGTACTATGTCACAGCATCACAGAACAGCTAAATGCATTACAATACACACACGTGTAGTGGAGACAGACACTTACTTCATGTTTCCATGTTTTGTCCAGTAGTGCAAATGTAGTGAAGTCTCTTGGAACACAGAAGTACTTGCATTCTGGGCTGGGGCCATCAGGAGAGCTTCTGATCTGCTCAATGTCTTTATCAACCAGTCCCAGAATCAAAGGATCAATCAAATACACTGGAATATTGTGGCTGGATATTAAGCTTAGGAACTTCCTAACAACGTGCTATTTGACAGAGGATAGAAACACCACATTTAAGCATACAAAGGTCAATATTAAACACTAATATTATATATATAACATTAAAACTCCAACAGAAAGAAGAAAACCCAATCCACTGAAAGAAGGAAATCTTATCTCCTAATACATCTTCTGAATACACATTTTACTTCCACAAACAATTGTGGAAATGGAAGTTTTCTCTTTCAGAAGAACAGGCTGCTCTTAGGCTTTTCAGGTCTCTAGGACTGGAGTAACAACCTGCCAGCTTCAGTTAGAACTTTCTACAACTCTGGAGTGCTAGACTAGAGAAAGGATTCTAGGCTAAACTCAAGATTCTTTCTAACTCCAGACTGAGTTGGAAAGCACTTGAATAAACTGGAGATTATAGAATGAGATGTGATGTGTATGTGGCTGCTGAGGGAGATGGCTGGTATAATTTCAAGGTTTCTCTGCAACATCTTTAAAGGCCTTGGTGATCAGATGCTGTTCTGAGAAAAGGCACATCTTGTGCCATCTTTAAAAAGGAGGATCTGGGGAACTCTGTTCACCTTAAACTCAACCCCCAGGAATCTTCTGGAGCAACAGCTCCTGGAAAGTCCCATCCAAGCACATGAAGGACAAGGATGTGACTAGGAAAACCAGACAAAGGCAAACTGCACAAAACCACAAGGCAAAGGCCATGGACACAGTTCACACTTTGACTTTTCCAAGGCTTTTGACTCAGTCACAGAGGGAGCCCAGACCTCAGGACTGCTGTACGTGGGAGAGGACTGAGTGAGAAGGTAGAATGCAAGTGCTAAGGGGTTAAAAGCTGTACCAGTCTCTGTACCTGATGAGAGAATTTATTAACTTGACTCAGTGGAGAATTTTAATCAAGCACATTTAAACATCTGTGGCACACAGAAGGCATTGACATCAGTCATGGTCACCCTACTATTTATAATGTTGCTGATGTATTCAACTATAATGTTTAAACTTAATGGCTTAAAAGCTCCGGCTTCAAAGGGACGTGAAAACACAAGCACAGGATGTGGGTGACCCACAGAGTTTTGGCAGTAGCATTACCTGTGTGATTAAGGCAGAAGCACGGCCACCCTTTCACTGATTTCAGCTACATGGATCTAAAAGGTAAGTGATGTGCTCACATTACACCTGTAACTAGAACTGGCAGATAAGACTGATGAATAGGAAGCAAATCTGTGCAAAAGTGTCTACTTCCCCTCCCTTACCCCATCACTTCTCCAGGAAAACAGATGCTTTCAGTTGAAACTCAAATAGCTGGTAGAAAGAGATGGCCTTGATATCAAGCCATCAAGAGAAACACATTGAAACAGAGTATTTTGGACACATCACTGCAGGGGCTCTGGAGTGCAGTGGGTCCCTGGCAGGACCGTGGAACATTCTGCTTTATCGCTAATGATGTGGTAAGAGCCAGTTAAACCTTGAGGATAAACCTGCCCACAGACTGGGAGCTGACTGCAACTCCCAACACCTGGCAGGCAGTTCCAAGGGGTGTCATGTCCAAGAACAGTGAGACATTCCTGGCACAAGCAAGCAGCCCATGGAGCAGCTGGTCTGGATTCTGTCCAGGAGCAGCTCTTAACCAGAGCACCTTCCCTCGTGCTCAGCAGAAACAGGGCCTTTAAATGCCTAACTAGCAAAGTTATCATGTTGCATTTGGACCGAGAGGCAGCAAGCTCTCAGCACATCCTTCCCTTTACCCATCTGTGCTTTTCCCACTGGGAGATCAGTTAACAAAAGGCTTCTGTAAGAGTGTTTCCAAACAAAGCCTAACTACAAATATGATAACTGAGCTTCCCATTCCCCCCCCAAGGGTGAGGTGATGTGTTGGCTGTGTTAAATCCTGCAAACCTTAAGCAGGGCACAATAACAACAACAACAAAAAAATATCTCATTTCAAGTACCTAATGGCACTCCTGGCACTGGGTTATGAGGACTGGAATTGTTTATATTATTGGAACTATATTATGGAACTATGTCAATAGGGAAGAGAATTGGACCCTGAGTTTGCAGTGCTGTGTGAGTTCCTGATGAGACATAGGGAAGAGCTGTATGAACCAGTGACACTGTACATACCCATCTAGTGCTGTCTTGGCCTGACTGGCTTCCTCTGACTTTGGAAAAAGCTGCTCCATTCTATTTAAGAAAGATGGGGAGGAGGAGAGAGAAAGATGAGGAAAAAAAAGTTTCAGCCGAATCCTTGCTTAGGATTTCTTAATAGGACATTCATGGACACTTATCCAAGTAAGCACTTTAGAGTTATGGCTGTGGTTTTGCCTCTGGTCACTCAAGTACCGCATTGAATCTGAAATCATAAACAACTTCCCTGGATTGGTATATTTAGAAGTACAACACAAGCCTCGGGGACCTCCAGACATGCAGGGACTGTGTGATGAGGCCTCAGGTTTCCAAGTCAATATGCCAGTAAATGTAAAATAGGGAGATGACAAACACTGTCAGGCAACTACCACGGCGGGGAGAGAGACAGCAGGACTGTGCCTCAGTCTTTTCAGGTGTAATCCTAGACAATTCAATCTTAAAGATTAAGGTCAGGGCAGTTTGCGGCTCAGCTTTTAAGCTTTTCGAAAGTAGAAAGAATTTCTCGTTCAATGCCCTGACATTTAACCACCAGAAACTGCAAGAAAGAAGTCAAAGTCTGCAGCACTACCTGGCACTAAAACTGCCTGCACTTATTAAAGATAAAAAAAAAACCACCTCCCAAGTCAGGAAACTGGATACCCACACAGTTCTGTAAAAATAAAAGGAGTTCCTCTATTGCAACTGTAAACTATGAAGACACCTGAGTAATTAATTTACAGTAACATTTACCTAATTTACAGTAACAACTCTTTTTTGTTACACAAAGATCATTCACCTGAACATTCCAGGTTTAAAAAGCAGGTATAAAAAGCATTCCAGGTATAAAAAAGCAGGTATAAAAACCATTCCCGGTATAAGAGTAGAGCTTAGTCTGTAACATGGATAAAATTATGAACACTGAGCCACAAAGCACTAAAACTGCAGAAAAAGTTGGGTTTTCTGCCCAGGACACCAGTGTTGGAAAATCTGTGGCCAATAGGTGCTGCCTCTCTTCAGAAAGGTCCTGGTTTCACATCAGTTTTAATATTAAAGTCTTTGAACAAGAGTTGAGGGTTAAAAGCCGTGGTGGCTCAGCCCTGGAGCATCATTCCTATGGGATGCCCCTGCATGACACAGTGACTTGGATACCGGCCTGAGAACTGAAACCTGACTGTACCCCTGCTACCAGACACTGTCTCCTCGCCCACACTGCGGGAATTTCGAGCCGCTCCAGGCATTTCGGGAGGGGAGGGGTTTGGGGTGATCAACGCCGACTAAGCCCCCAGACGACGGCAGTGCCCACACCCCCAGACACAGGGGCAGCTCTCCCTTACCTTCTGCGACAGGTAGAACTTGTAGTAGCAAAGCTGGAAGAGCAGGAACACGAGGCTGGCCAGCGACAGGAGCGCCAGCACGGCGTTCCTGTTGATTTTCTGCATCGGGAGCCGCCGGGGGGTCGGACCCGCCTGCCCGGCTGCCCGCACCGCGCCGCGGCTTCAGCCGTAAGACGCCCCCGCCGCAAAACCTCCTGACGCGTCGTAAAACCGCCCCTCCCGCCGTCGTAAAGCGCCCCCAAAGCAGCACCCCAACCCCCTCCCCCCCTAAACACGCCCCGGACAAAAAAGAGAGCGGAGGCACATGGGGGTTCCAGGATTTCTGTATTAGTACAAAACACCGTGTCACACACGCACGCCTCCCTGCCCTGCGACCACCACCCTTCCCCCCCGCCCCGCTACATCTCCTGTCCGGGGATGTTCGGTCACGGGGGGACCACCGGGATCGGCTCCGAGGGGAACACCCGCCCAGGCTCCCCCCTGCCCCGAACAAAGTTATGCTGGGGGATAACACCAACACAGGTCACCCCACGACGACTGTCCCCCCAAGAACCACCATCCTCCAACGAAACACTGACAAAGGCTAATATTCTTCCAGATTATCCCCCCATTCTTCATATGAAACGCGGAACAAGGGAGGAAGCAGAATTTATACACTGGCCTCTGCTTGCCTTTTTTTTTTTTTTTTTTTTTTTTTTTTTGCGTAGAGGGCAGCTAAGAAATGAACCTGTCACCTCTTGCCATTTATTTAATATTTGGTGTTTGCAGAAGCACCTATATCCCCTGGATTTTTTTTTTTAATCATACTGACACTGACATCCCTTGTTGCAGTTCATGCAGTTTTTCTCATACTGTTTTCCACAGAATCAAATGGGAGCTACACTCATGTGATATATTAGGAGCTCAAGAGGAAACCCTTTAGTTCCTCATAAGTAGTTGTGAAATATTTTTAACTCTGAAAGATTACCAGCAATCATTATTTAGAAAAAAAAAACAAACAAACTGAACTCCTCCTTTTGGTCACAGAGCAGAATACTTCTGTTTTGCCACCACACAGCATCAGCTCCAGTGTAGAGAGACTCGGAGTATTAAGCACAACATGCCTGCTGGCTTCAACCACAGACCTTCAAAAGGTCTAATCCACTACCAAAGAACAACCCCTCAAATCCCTGAAATGGATTCACATAGGAAAAAGGTAACCACATGGGCTCCAGATGTCCCTCTCCAGCTGCGGGTATAGAACTTGCACCAACTGCAACAAAACATCACTGGAAGCAGTGTGGCATCGCTCATCATTGTATGATGAGGGGTACTGGAGAGACACTAGTTCTGGAAAAAAACCAATCAACAGTCTAAAAAAAAAATCTAAAGTGCTTAAGGCAATTTTTCATATCCCCATTTACTAAAAAAAAAAAAAAAAAAAATTGGACTAGATGTTAGCAGCAAAAATTTGACATCTGTGCAAACTATTATATTACAAATCGATCCTTTTAAGGGTAAAAAGTCACATGTTATGTTCATCTATGACAGTTAAACCAAAACTTGCAAGTCACAAGTCACAGTATGAAATACTCCAAGCTTTTCTCTAACTAAATGTTAAAGAAAAAAAAAACATTTTTACATTTGTGCATATCAAATCTACCTTGCAGGTTGTGCTACAGCTTGCTAAAAAAAAAAAAAAAAAAAAAAAAAAAGATAATTTAAATGCTCTTACATAGGGCTGGATATTAGTCATTGTTTGTTCTTACTACACATTAGCTTGTTGTAAACATTCCCTTTCCTTCCAAAAAGGAAAAAAAAACTGCAGCTGAATACCCAAGATCAAGCCAGTGGCTAGGTGGTGTGAGGAGGTGTCAGCCTGTTCTGATGTCTGTGTACCACAGTCCTAGAGAAGAACAGGCCTCAAAACTGAATTCCCAGCAGTTGATCCCCTAAAACTCCCAGTCAGGAATACACTGCAGTAAAAAGAAAAGGATTATACATAGATTACTGGGATAACAACATATGCAGATAATGTTTGAAACAGATTCAGACACTGTTAACTAAGAACCATGTCACTTCTGAGTATCTTTGCCCCAAGACCCCAGTCACTGAACTGGCAGAAGAAGGTACAGTTTAACTGGGAATTATTTTGTACTCTTCTCTGCAAAAACAGATTACAGGTAACTGTTAACAATGCAAATAATCAGAGATGCTCAAGTTCCAAATGCAAAGTAGACATTAAGGGCTCAACCTTAATCCTGTCAACTTCATGATTTCTGAAAAAAAATTAAAACTTCCTAGCTAATTTTCTTGTTAATTTTAACTTCCCACTGAACATCATAGCCAGTTTATTAGAAGTTGAATTTCTTCTCCTCTTGAGAAATTGTGATGGACAGGAAGGAGCCATTGATAGTAAGATTTAACATAATTAGCATGTTCATTTTTTTACGGGCTAAAGGAGACACATAAGAAAAAAGTACATTGGCCCAGTAGGAAAGAAGCCAATTAATTATGGACCCTTATCAGCATGAATTTACACAAAAGTTTTCAGGTGATACCAAGAAATAATCTTCAGTTAGGAAACAGCTGAGTTAAGTGTGTACCTGAAAACTATTTCTACATTCCTGGACTTGATTAGAGGGAAGAAAACAGATTTAAACAATCTATACAACACCAGTAGTTCTCACTGACAAGCTGGAATTTTCCATGAAGAATATAACATGATTTTTTACTTTTTTTTTTTAGCTCTCCCATTATTATGAATGATTTGACTATTGTTACTAAGCTTCCAACTAGGAGTCAAAGTGATGGAACACCCTGGCTCAACATTTCAAAAGCCAAGAGAGGACTTAAAGCTGAGGGCTTTTGAGAAAGTGGTACCATTCTGCAGCTTTAAAAAAAAGACAGCTCTGGATCTTTTGGTTCTGAACCTCTTCCCCAAAATACTTCCTGGCTCAATGGCTGGGTATCATAAGGTGTCTTCACTGAGGACATAAGAATGCTTTTAAATATATTGTTACATTTTCTGTAATTTGTGACAAACAGGAGCCAACCTCAATATACGTGATTTTTAAATGAATTACTCATGGGGAAATAGGAAAATTTTATATCAGGAAACAAAACAATCACAGTCTGCTCTTCCTGTTTCTTCATACCAGGCCTACAGAGTCTTTTAATATGCTTCTGAATTCATGCTGCTGTGATATTTTGCCAGGCTAAGCCAGCAAATCAGTATTATTTCAAAATGCATGTCTGACATCACAATTTCTAATGGGAAGCCTAGTAATAATAAAATATAAAGTTAAATAAGTCATATTAGGAGAGCTAATAAAATGGTATTTGCTATATTCTTCATAGAAAAATAACATCTGTAACAAAACTAATATTTGAGTCCATAATAAAATTATTAAATAGAGTATTAGAAAAGTACACAGTTACAGCTTTTGATTTCTCTTTTTTTTTTTAAATAGGCAACAGTTCAGTTTTCTGACATTTGTCTGGATTCCCAGTAGGTTACTAACACTTTATCCTCAAACCTTTGCACCAGTACCCAGGCCCTAAACAGCAGAAGGTAGCAAACCCAGTTTAATCCAATGCTCACAAGCTTCTGTGAGTAGTAGCTACACAGAAAAAAAACCAACATTCAGCAACAGCAATGTTTAACAGACACTACTAGGCAACATTGTTTAGGCTACTTGTTGAGCCACTCAATCCATTTTCACTTTTCTGAAGGGTTTTCACGGCACTTGGTACCTGCAATCCAGTACTCACTGTGAGCCCTCCACACCAGATCTAAGGGGAAAAAGAAAAATCTACATTATGGACCAAATCTCTCTCTCTCCTCCCATCCCACAAGCCCCACAATGGAACTAACACAAAAGTTATCCTGCAGCTGCACATCTTCTCTCTTGCTCATTACAGCATTCTGTAAAACATTCTGATCAAAGACAAGCTAATTTTTAAGTCCATACATGTAAGATGCTTCACATACTATGCTTTATGACTAAGTTTATAACTAAGGCTAAGATTTTATACAAAAAGACTTGCTCCTAATAGGAAAACTCCTTTGAAGGCCAATGAGCCAGCAGCAAGTACTTCAAATGACAATGAAAAGCAACAACCTCACTATGCTCCAGCAGTGCTCATTTCTTCCATGTCATGCTAAAACTATGTCAATGTAAACACAAAAAATATGTTTTATTTTCTAAAATAATGTTTTGTTTATAATAAGTATATTATATATTTTCTAATATATTGTTTGTTACATTCCTAATATATTATTTATTTTATATACATATATTTATAACATAATATGTATTAAATTATATAGTTACAAAATTAAAGTTATAAAATGTTAGGTTTTATTTATAATATATTATTTTGTGCTACTTAGGAACTGACTTAATGAGTCAGTCTTAGCAATGCTAGAGGGAAGGTTAACACATTCCAATATTTCTGAAGTTAAACTTGCCCTTGTGTGCATGTGAAGTTCTACTGGAGTGCTACTATAAGCACCACATGAAATCAAAAAGAAAAGAGTTAAAAATTTTTTTAAAATTACTAGTCAGCCAAAACCAGTGCTTCCAGTTTCCTTCTTGACAAAGCAATTAAGTCTTCTGACTTAAACTGAACTCAATGCAATAAGCTGGACAAAATTTTACAGATACTGACCATGAAGCCTGGTAGTAATGGTTGGGTAAACTTAGTCCTGAAGGTGTGTAACAGCGCCTTTGAGTTTGCATTGTAAAATGAGAGCTGACCTAAGAGAAAGAAAACAAGTTGGCATACAGTTTAAACACAGTCTAAACATTAGCATTTAAACACGCTTAGATGCTATTGCCATCTAACTTAAAAAAAAAAAAAAAATTATTCTTTCCCAGGGAAAGGTTTCCAGAACACTCTAAGCCCAGTCCACAACACAGAAAAGTTCACAATTCGTAGCTGTGTCACACAGATGAACTCAGGTCATTTGACATTACAAGAATTAGAATACAAACAGCTCTGGGTCTGTGTTTTCGTAACAGACTGTCATTCTTGAAGTAATGCACTGCTTCAGCCCTGTACTGCTCCAACTCCACACAGACAGTCAATTAAGTTTTTACCTAAATCCCCTAAGACTGTAATTTACCTCCATCAAAGTCACAGTATACTCCTATTCTGTCTGGAACAGGTATATCAAGAGTCTTTGCTTTGTTATTATGTTTTGCTGAGAATGTGGTTTGCAGCCAGTTGTTGATATGGATGCACCAGCTTGAATTAGTCTTTCCCAGTTGGTCAAATTTCCCTGGGTTTCTGTAAGTGACTCCCACGCTGTAGGATTTGCAGTCCTTCTGGGCTCTCACTTCCCAGTAATGCTGTCCACTCTCAACAGCAGTGTCTCCTACCAAAAGAAATACATTTAATTACTGTAACTGAGTGTATCTTACAATGCTGCCTTCCTAACAGGTATCAGTGATGTCTTCTCTGTTTTGTTTTAAAGTGAAGGCATTAAAAAAATCTGAACTATAAGGATTTATAAAAAAGTACACTAGAATATAAATGTAAAAGACTATGAGACTGTGTTTATAATCAGCTGATACATATTTAACATCAGTTTACATTGAACAGCCGTGAATGTCAGTCACTAAGAGCTTTGTAATAAAGAGTTTCAACAGACCTGAAGACACTGTAGCACAAAATTCTGGTGATCTCTGGGCAAATGGGGAAGGACAACGTTCATTAAGCAGCCTTGAACTGGTACAAAGTTTCTCTTAAATTCTTGCCTCATCTGCCCTTTCCACAGCACCACACCTTTAGGAGAGCAAACAAGTCCACCTTACCCAGCACTGTGTAGGATTCACCAGCAAAGCGATCCCTGCTGCCCCTGGCTGAAGCTCTTGGGCTGTTGGTGGCTCTCTTCGGAGATGCTGCATTGCTTCTAAAAAGAGACAAACCACTCAAGATTTGGACACAGCTACAGAAAGGCACCTCTAATTGTTCCCAAGTCAATCACAGACACGCAAAGCTACTGAAACGACACATTAGTTCAGCCACTTAGTAGCTCTTCACAGCTTGCATGCATGCACAAGGACGGGGGAAGAGGTGACAGCCAGAAAAATAATACAAGATGTTGTAATAAACAAGTTCAAAGGTAGATGGGAACAGACACAGGAGTGGGGGTAAAAAAACCAAATGTGTGGCACATGGTTTGAATGAAACACACTTCATGCTGGAGAATATTCTAATGAGCAATCAGTTGTATAAAAGACTAATTTTAACCTAATGAAGTTTTCAAACTTCCTTTTTAACCTCTGTTAGACCCTCGAAAATAATTCTAAGCAATTTATCCATTAAATCAAGTGAAGGTTATATGCAATATTCCTCAATAGCCAGGAAATCACATCTGATTACTATTTTAAAGGTAATCAGTAGAAAAAAATTTTAATTTTTCAGAAATAGCTATGCAGTTTAGAGGTTAATTTCATTGAAAAAGACCTTACGTAAGTATGAAATCAGTCTCTGAAATACCCCTGAGAAGTCATTTTCAATTTCACATCCCCTAGCCTACAACTCATTAGCCTCAGAAGAGTTAACACACACAAAGAGTTTACTCTTCAACTTATCCTTCAGCTAGTATTTGGTAAAGCTATTTGCTACTTTAACGTCCACTAATACAGCTTGCTTCCTTTCCGCTTCACTCAATGCTAATTTCAAGTTTTTTGGAGTTATTCTCAAATAGCATTTCAGAAAGGATTAGAAAGGGTCCCTTTTTGCTTAATACCATCATAAAATAAGGCCACATGGGAATCAAAAACTGAGTGATATTATGCTGTCATACATAAGTATGCTAAAATCCAGTTCATGACTAGGTTTGTTCTATCCCAGCTACAGAATTCTACAAGAAATCACTGATGAAAAAGTTGTTCATCACCATTCAGCACATAAATTTGACAACAGTGATCAGACGACAGCTATGTTTGCAAACTGCAGACAAGAGTTACATGAAGGGGATAAGTGTAATATTGTGCAGGTGTACCACATCAAGTAGTTTTGAATTTTGTAAACATGGAGGATACTGTGGTCTACTTACCAAATAAAAAGTTAACAAGTGATAGCATGGTAGGGGGAGGGGGGAAAAAAAAAGCAAAGCCAAGAATTAAAGCATAATTTCAGGGGAACCATTACTCTTTGCAGATTGCATCCTGCTTCATGTGTATCAGACATCTTCCACTCACGCTTCCAACAAATGCCACTCAAAATTTTCTATTAGATCCAGTATAAATGAGTTATGCAGAAAGCAATGTGGCCATTTAGAGAATCACCAAAAGAAAAAAAGCAGGTATTTTGCTAGTATTTTCTCAAGGTTAGGAAAGCATTAAAAGGTTCCCGATATAATTTATTTTGCTCATCTGTAAATGGCCATTGCATGTGCTTTGTCCTCTCAAAATCTAATAGCCTTTAAGAACTGAGAAAATTACATTAAATGTTTGACATAAAAGCTTCAAAAAACATTTTTTCAGGCTTTTTTTTCCTCAGTGCTGAAGTTTCCCTTGCAACAGGAAAAGGTAGCAAATTTTATAGCAGTTTTGTGCCCATTTTCCACTGCAGCACAGTCTTTAACAGTCAGTAACTGACACATTTCTTCCACTGTTCAGTGGCCAAATATTCTTAAATCATGGCTTTAGGATGGTTGCCTACAGTCCTGCAGTTAGTCCCTGTCTTCTCAACAATTTCAGCACACAAAACATACTCCAAGCAATATGTATTCTCTTTTGGAGAAGAAAGGTCAAGGAGGGATATCAGTAATCATCCAGAGGCTTTTTTTCTCATCTAATAAGTTACAGATAACTAAGTATTTTGTTGCCATTGTGTGTTTCCAACCCTTAAAAACTGTGCATTAAAACAATTGTAGTGCAACTTTTTCCCCATCTACTATGGAGTCAACTCCAAATTTTCTGTCTAATGCAGACCTTCCACAGATGCTCTTAACAGGAAACAAAAGCCTCCTACCAGAATAAAGCTCATCTAAATCTGCTAGAAAAGGTTGGTCTGAGTTGTAAAGTTGACCATGTGACCATGTCCTTCTACCAAAGCAAAGGCAAGAACACTAGGGAAGTGCTTTTGCAAAGAGAGGCCAAAATATAAGATTCCCAGAGTTGGGCAAGTAGTAATACCTCCAATACACTTTTAAAATTTAGTTGAGCAGGAACTGATATGCTTTGTGTAGTGAAACTATTGATACTACACAACTTTAAGAGCTTGTTTTGCCTACACAAGCTTTTCTTTAATGCTGATCTCAAGTCAAAGGTAGATCCACCTGATAGATGAACATAGGGGAGTGAAATCTACAAAAAATTAGAAATCCAGGCATGTATTTTGTCCCCACAACTTCTAAACCACTGAAAAAAAAAAGTAAGAGAGCAAAAATAGGAGAAGTAATCTCTCAAAAAGGAGTTTTATTAAACAAAAGAAAAAATTTTACCCTAAAAAAACCCACAACTGCACAAGAAATAGGAAAATATTTTACCTAACTTTACATCTCAAAAAAGATTCTCTCTCATTTGAACAATTGGTTCTGCAATTAGAATTGCTATGAAGCCTTTTACATGTCATCAGGCTAAATTTCATCTTTTTTGAGCCTGTAAAAACCCCTGCTTCTTACCCCCTGATATCTAGTAAAAGCTACAGAACAAGTTCAGATGAAAAGAGGTTTTCAGATTCAAAAATAAGAACCAAAAAATATTCTGAAGTTCTCAGAAAGGAGATCTTTCCTACATTTGTAAAAAAAGTTAGTGAATCATCCTGTAAGTAAGCCTCAATATGTCTGTAAATAACAGGGATCGTTGTATCACCATCAAAATACATAATGCTCTTCCAACCATTGCAATTTAGGTTTCATACACACTAGGATGCATCCTTCCAGAAAGGCTCTCTTCCAGTCACTGGAAAACAAATAATAAACACAATCTCTACAAATCCGAATTAAACTTCCAAATAACTTCTAAAAGCATATGTGCACTGTTACTGATAAAGGCTATTAGATTTGTTTCTCACGTCATCAAGCAAAGGAAAGTAGCACAGATCCCCCAAAGAACTAGGTGCTAGATCCTAGGAATAAGAGGTATATTATCACCTTCTATTGCTCTTCAGCAGAGGATTGTGGCCACTGTCGACAGAAATAAGTAGGCATTAAAGAACTGTTCAATTACTACAGTAAATTATCCCCGTTTTTTAAATACCAATTAAGGGACTGGGGCACTGTCAAAAGACAACTGGGTTTGCTCAGCCTGAGGAATACAAAAGCTAATTGATGTCTTTAACAATGTGACAGGAACAGAGAAGATCAGGCCAGGCTTTTCTCAGAGGGGTGCACACTGAGAGGCACCTGGTACTCATTGCACCACAAATTCCAGTCAAGTATTAGGATATTCCTCCCCTCCCATGAAGGTAGCCTGGAACAGAGGGCCAGTGAGTTAACACGTTCATCCACACATCCTTCATCCTTGGATATATTCAAGGCGCAGCCAAGAGTAGACTGACCTAATAATGTTCTTCCAACAGTATTTATTCAGTGATTCAGAACAGCACACATGTAACAATCTACCACGAACTCTGCCACTTCCAAAAGAGTTATGTTTCATTATTCATTATCTTTTGCTATCGGGTTTGTTTTATTGGTACCTTTCCCTGACCAGTGAGAGTTTGAGATTACATCAAACACTTCAAGGTGGAAGTGCCCTGGAGGAAGCTGCAATCCACAAACCTTTCATCCTATTTCCTCTCCCACTGTCCAGCTGAGGAGAAGCAATAGAGCAGGTAGGCGGGCACCTGGTGGCTAGCCAGGGTCAATCTACCACATCTACAACTTACTTCAGAACCTTGAATGATAAGCCTAAAAAATTTATTTTTAAAATAAATAAATATTATTTAACAATTATGACACAATACTAGCCTCCACATCTGTGTGACAGGAGAAGGTAAAGAAAGAAAAATTAAGATTTCTTCTGGAGAAAGATTTCTGAATGAAAATTCCTCTCATGTCCCATTGTCCTCAAGTGCTTTCTAATTGACAGAGGAGGTATCCCAGACATTTGCAAAAACAGAGTTCTTACCTATTTTTATTTTCCTTCCCTTTTATTTTTTCTTGGCCTTTGCCTCCAGTGGGATCCCATTCAACATACGTGTCTTCAACTTTCAAGTTTGGGTGAGATGAAGTACTGTCCAAACTGAACAAAAATGCTGGTCAAGATAAAATAGAAAACAGTGAAATGGCATAATGCTCTCACAACACTGACTATTCATAAAAAATGATACAAGCAGCAGTAAAATTGCAGCACAGACTTATTAGACATAACAGAAAAATCAGCTTTTCAGTCTGACACTTGTAATCAAGGTAAGGAGCCCTTGAAATAAAGCCTATCAACTTGCTTTCAGTACACAGGTTACAAAGTAAGTATTATCATCTCTAAAATGCTTCAGAGTCAGCAAGTAAATTCAGCTAGTGGTTGCTGCTTCTTTTAACAGCCTACTCAAGATTCTTATAATAATGAATTACTTAAAAAGGTAGGCTTATTTTCCACATTCGGCAGCACTGATTCTCCAACAATGTGTTTATGATTTATGAGGACTTCAAACTTGGGGAATACTCAGTAGACAGGGTAGCACATCCAGGCAGACAATGCTGAATTGTGAAGTCAACTGCAGATACAAGAACAGCAGAGGATTCATGGAGCAGGAAGAGACTTGGTATTTGTGGCAGCCAAGCCCTTCAAGCAAGAAAACAAAACTAATACAACAGGCAAAATTGCCTAAAGATATTTACAGACTGTTCTGTAACTGTCCTAGTACCAACAGATATTACAGTCTGATTGTGAAAGAGAGTATACTCGAGATTTTTAGGAGTTTAGAATTCAACAGTACACAAATGTAAAGAACAGCCAGGTAATCACATGGATGAGGAAGCTGGTTTTCTATGGAGGGATTACTAAAGAAAGTGAACTAAATGTTCACCCATAAATAATGAAAATAATAGGGGAAGTGTGGTAACTACCCAAACAATCAAAACCAGAATTACTTTTCTGTTAATGGAATAGGGAATGTAAGTGGCTATTAAATGGATACTATGTGTCTGACAATGAGTACTGTTTAAGAGTATTAAAATAATGTTAGGAAAGTTATCAGAATGCCCATTAGCTCATTCAAATTGCATATAGCTTTGTTCTTATGAAAGAGCTTCCACAAGTAAAAGAATCTACATATAAATTTATATAGTTGGTACCAGTCATTTTGCCCTTTACACCACAGACCTGGCTGTAACTCAAGTCACAGGGTCAATATCTCCACCTTAATAGTTAAGACTTGTGTTCTCTCACAAAACATCACTTCCAGGATTTTTTTCTGCTAGTTTATTTAAAAGATGTTAGGAAGCCATCCTAACAGTCCTCACATCAACCAGTTTTGAGCACAGTGACTATAAACCTTTAGCAAATTTGAAGTTGCTTATTTTTTTTTAATATTGACAGTGGTTAGAATCTACAGCTATGAAGTAAAAAAAAACCACCCCAAAACCACAAAACCAAAAAACACCCTAACCCTTTCCAGCACCTTCTTGTTACAGAAAGCTGTATCTGTCACTAATAACTAGATAACTACACCAACTGTTTAGATGCCCCAAGAGTCATTCATCCACAACATTCATCTTTCTCTTGCTGTATGCTGGCATGATGTAGGAGCACATGGCACTGTCAATCCACAACCAAAGGAGCCAATGTCAAGTTCTGCTGGAGAAAGCTGACAGTATTATCCCATTTTTCAGGGCCTGAATGCTGAAAGCATAGCTTTGTGCCAATATGCTTCTTAATCCTTTATAGAGATGGTCGTTTTCCCTTCTACTTAGGAAGTGTTTCAGTGAAGCAGATTCAACATACAGGTTCATAAAGAAGGAAGAAAAGTTTAAGTATAGGTTTTTCACTACAGCTAAGTTTAGTCTTTCAAATTTTACCTTTGGTTTCCAGAGTTATGGGATCAGAGTATTCCCCTGCTACAGCTTTGTTGCAAGCTTGTACTCTAAGGTTCATGTATTTTGTATCAAATTTCAGACCTAAAAAGCAAATGTTTAGAAACAGAAATTATATTACCAAGAACTTTTACAAGACTAAGGCCTATTCCATGCAGCTCTCTTGCATTTACCTCAGTATTGCAAAAAACTTAATGCTTAAATATCAGTGTGAACTTAACACATGATTTTTAAAAAAAAACCCTGAAGTCAAAATAAAAGACAGAGCTATTACTATACAAAGCACCCAAGACTAATGTGATATAATGGAAGCTTCATTACAGGCAGAAAAGGGGTATTTTGCAAAACTTCCAAGCATAAATAGTTATATTGATATTCTGGTGTTTGGAGTACAAAAGACCTTTACCTGATAATGTGTATTGCATGGCTTTGATGTAGTCGATCACTTCCCAGTGCTGTTCACCTTTTAGTCGAGGGAGCCCATCAAAGTTCGTTTTCCTGTACTCCAGTACAAAATGATCAATTCTGGGGTCTTCTTCAGGCATCCTCCATGATACTGTTATGCAGTTATCAGCAACCAGACATGCTGCTACATCTATCTCTGGAGCTTTAGGGACTGCACAAACACACAGGTCAGTTTGAAGACTACAATGGACTGAGTATTACTTTGTTCTCCTTGGATTTACAGAACCCAGAAGTTTCCCCTGGCCTAGTAACACCCCTTTTTAGAGGATCTGTTCCATTAGCAAAGCATTATCAAAGATAAGACTTATTACTCATTTCTTCTATTTAACATGCATTTTACTAAATGAATAGTACACATTAGTTCTAGAGTGAGCATCTGCTTCAAATCATCCAGATATTTGTTTTGTCTGCAAGTAAGGCTGATTCCCCTCTGGAAACAGTAAGAAGTAGAGTGGACTTACAATTATGAACCTACATTTAGAATAAATACTGCACAGGAAGAACATTAAAAGCAAACTTCTGAGCCTTTGGAAGGTAAGTACAGCTGCAGCCCTCACACAGCATCACTTTTATTTCCTGTAAATCACTACACTCTCTCTAATGACACATAGTATTTCCCACTAACCACTCGACAGTCACCTAATGTTCTTTCCTTTTCAACCCTTGTCTTGAAAGAAGGGGAAACAATTCCAAAGATCCACTAAAGGCTGAAGTTTTGTTTATATACAACAGAAGTCTATTTCCAGGAAATCAAGGACCACTTCAGTCTGTGAAAAACATTTTGCAAAAGAAGGCATTTACATACTATTTATAGTGTCTAAAGTACACTCAAGGAAGACTTTAGCTGAAGGAAGTGACAAAGACTTCTTACTGTTTGCATTTTTTGGAGGAAGATTCCACAAAAATCTTTTCCTTCGTTTCAGCATTGATAAAAGTTTGAAATAGACATGAAAGTGGTCTGCAAGTCAATGTACCAAGCAGGAGCATCAAAAAAGGATAATCCTGATGCATCTGTGAAACTGGCAGACCTGCAGATTCTTTTCTTGTCAAAAACCATCTTTCATACCCCTCAGGCCCTTAACTGTGCTGTTCTGTAGAGGTCCCAGTGACCAAGTCCTAATTACATACACATTTGCCTTTATGCAGTTTTCTGCATAACTGTTTCCTGAACAGATTGTTATCTATGATTCCCCTCCAAAATGACTGATGACAATCAACTTCACATTATTTATGGTCCAGTCTTTTAGGGATGTGTAATTTTACCCTCTAGATACAGACATCTCCTAGAGCTACAGCAGTTCTACTAGAAGCAGAAGGCCTAACTTGCTTTATGAACACTACTTTCACACCTTCTCTTCATGATCTCTTCAAATATTTCAACGCAGCACTGCTGAAACACACCCTTTTACCCTCACATCCCTGCAGTTTAAGCCAGGTGGGAATTACACTGCAGGTGGTGTTATAGGTTTAAAATGCTTGGGAACAAGTGAGCAGCACAGAAGAGACAGAAAACAAAAAATATTCAAGCCTGCAATGGTTTTGGCTGGGATAGTTACATTTCTTCACAGAGGCTTGTGCAGTGCTGTGCTTTGGATTTGTGATGAGAACAGTTTTGATAACACAGGGGTTTTAGTTAATTTGAGTAGCATCAAGTCCTTTTCTGCTTCTCAGACCGCCCTGTCAGTGAGGGAGCTGAAGGAGCACAGCCAGGACAGGCGACCCCACCTGACCCAAGGGATATTCCAGGCCATGTGATGTCACACTCAGCACATAAATTAAGAGGGGGGAAGGGGAGGAAGGGATGTTCAGAGTGATGGCATCTTGTCCTCCCAAGTCCCTATGATGGAGATAAGTTCACCTACACACACGGCTTTTACTTTACCTATTAAACTGTTTTTATCTCAACCCCCAACTTTTCTCACTTTTACCCTTCTCATTCTCTTTCCTATCCCACCATGGCAGCGGCGAGTAAGCAAGCAGCTCTGTGGTGCTTAGCTACCTGCTGGGGTTAAACTACAACAAAGTGTTAATTACATGCATTTGCCATCAAAGTCATCCAGCAATAATTTGAAATTAATTCAATAAGATGCCTTAATAGGCAAAAGAAAAATTAAGATTAGGACAAGCAATTCAGCTCCTATACCTTTAAGTTTAGCTACTTACTCCCATTATTTTTGTCAAAAGATATCAGATAAAGAGTCTTATATGTGCCTGGGATGACACCAAGCCTTCAGCATAATTCTCTGGTAAGTAGTGTTCAAATTACCACACCACGAAACCCATTTTCAACTTCCCAGACTAGGACATTAGTATTTCATGATGTATGAAGGCCTGTCAATGCTCAGTGCAAATTTGCCTGCAACAGTGTAAGCTATGAGTATTTGGTGTCTGACTAATTTGAAAGTTTGGAACTATAGCAGAAAAAAAAGCAAGATTGATACCCAAGCAGTCAATTTTCCTGTTTAAAAAAATCAAAGGTCCAAACAATTTAAATTCCTATGTATTTAACAAGGAAAATCCAAGTATAAGAAAGATTGTACTAAATAATACCTCTATCCAGACACAAGACTTTGTTCATACTTGCTGTTAGATCTTTACACTCGCGTTCCTGTTAAACAGGTACACTGTGATCAGCTTACTACCCTGGTCCCTGAGCTATGGAATACAGAGCAATGATTGACACCAAGAGTCTAAGACTAGAAGGTGAATTTCTGCCTGGACACTGGTAGCTGACCACTAGGAATAACACTGGTTATCTACTACACCTGCTACCACATACTGTATCTGCAGCATCCAAGGCAAACAGGCAGAGATGTAAACTGATGCTGCCAAGTCCTTAACAGATTTGGATCAGTGACCCAGAGATGGAACAATCTGCATCGCTGCCAGCAGTATTCCTGTCAATATATTCTCGGTAACAGTCAAGGGCAAAGTGTTCTAAATAGGGAAGCAATAAGAATTAAAAGACATTAAAGATATATACTGGTCTAATGCACCTAAGTCTCCTGTCAGGAATGGATGCATCAATACACATTTTGTATTATGGTAATATCACAGCATTAGTAAACTACCTCTTTCCTATATTTCAGACCATTTCATCACTCTTGAAAGTGATGTATTAGTTTACATTTCCATCCATAACACTACTGCAGAGGATCAGGACTTTGGAGTATCACTGAGCATCAAGAGAAACTTCAGGACCTTCACAAAGTAAAGAGAACTGACAACTCAGAAAAAAACACGGTCTAGAAGACTCACTCTCACTTCTGAGGTCAGTGTTATTTTCCAAAATCCTGTCGTATGTAGAAATTAACAAAAGCACAGAAAACTCCTATCCTTGAGGTATTCAATTTAGCATGCAATGAGTGAGAATGAGTTTAGGTACTCTGAAAAAGGGTGCAAGAGGTGCAGTTTTCTTTTGTTACGTTGGTTTGAATAAAGTAAGTTGTTTCATGTAATAACAAATTAAACCCAGTGCATACAGTTTTTACCTGGCAAAAACTTCACAGCTTGGAGCATGCGCTTTTCCAGACTGAAGTCCACCATCAAATGAGCCATACTGTCACTAACTTTTGGTTTCAGGGAGAGGCGGAATGCTGAAGCCACTGTGACACTGAAGTCAAGAAAGAAGCATTAGTAGAATGTATCTTACATCGTTTAAGCCATTTTCCAAAACAGCAATCAGATAATCTGTATCATTAACGTCAAACTACTGATCAAAGAGCAGAACATTTTTCTAACACATAATTGTTTACCATTTAGCACACTCAAAAATTAAAAGTTTGTGACTGTCTCAGAATAATAATGCAAGTTCCCAATTGTTCCATATTACTAGGCAAATAAATACTAGAGGCAACTAGAGAACAGCTTAAAACTTTTTACTACTGAAAAGCTTGGATAAGAGACAAAAAAAAAATCTGTATCACTTGACATAAAATCAGTAAGTGTGAAAAATCTAAAGTACCACAGACTCAGGATCACATTTAGGCATTTCTAAACAGCAGTGAACAAGCTGACTATGCTGATTTCATATCTGTGTCTGATCTTATCAGGATATGAAGAAATGTTCGAACTAGAGATTGGAACATGCAAGTATCAGACATGTTTTACAAGATATACCAAAGAACTCTCTGAAATTCAACAAAGGCAAGTGCAGGGTCCTGCACCTTGAGAGGAATAACGCCAGGCATCAGGACAGGTTGGGGGTTGACCTGCTAGGAAGCAGCTCTGTGGAGAAGGTCCTGGGGATCCTGGTGGACAAAAAGCTGTCCCTGAGCCAGTAGTGGTCCTGGGGGCCAAAGTAGCCAGTGGCATCTGGGGGTGAATCAGGAAGAGCATTGCTAGCAGGTCAGGGACATGATCCTGCCCCTCGACTCAACCCTGCGAGGCACATCTGGAGTGCTCTATCCAGTTCCTAGCTCCTCAGGACAGACATGGAGCTCCTGGAGTGGGTCCAGAGGAGGCTACAAAGATAATTAGGGGACCAGAGAATCTCTCTGACAAGGAAAGGCTGAGGGACCTGGGCCTGTTCAGTCTCAAGAAGAGACACAGAGGGAACCTCATCCGTGTCTGTCAGTGTCTGCACGGAGGGGTCAGAAGACGGACCAGGCTCTGCTCAGGGGTGCCCAGCAACGGCACAAGTGGAATGGGTAGGAACTGGTGCACAGGAAGTTCTACCTGAACATGAGGAAGAACTTCTTTGCCGTAGAGTGACCAACCACTGGAACAGATTGCCCAAAGAGGGTGTGGAGTCTCCCTCACTGGAGATATTCCAGAGCTGTATGGGCACAATCCTGTGTCATGTGCTCTGGGATGGCCCTGCTGGACCAAGGAGGTTGGACCAGATGACCCCCATGCGATCCCTCCATGATCCATCCTGTGCTCCCATTTCCACTTCTGAAATCTTAGCTCAGTACTTGCTCTGAATACTCCCAAGGTATTTCTGCACTCCAACTACACTACTAAAAATAAGTTTCTAGAATAGTTCTCTGACTCTGAAGACATCAGGCCATGCAGAAGAATTTGAATAACACTTATTCCAACGGCACACAGGTCCCAAATCCAACTTAAAAAACCCCATAAATTTCTGAACTATAAAGTATTATACACACTACAAACGTCAACTGTAAATACCTGAATTTATTTGACACCCACAGATGTGTGGCACCTTTAGAATACCTAGTTCATATCACTCCCTCTGAGGCACCATGTACTTCACTAGTGTGCTAACCACAGATACACCAAATAATAGTGAAAAACAAAAAAATCTGGTAGTGAGGAAGGTGGAGGAAATATCAAGTTTAGTATTAAAGATAGATAGATATATAGATATAGATATATATATATATATATCTCAGGAGTGACAAGCATTACAATTTTGGGACACAAGACTGAAATGAGTATCATAAAATACAAGTCAGTCGATTTCCCAAGACAGGGTTCATGTTCTCAAATTCTGTATGGGCTGCCTGGCACATTCCACTGCTCAGCCAGATGGGTAGATGTCCCAGGTTGGATCTGGCTCCCAGCCAAGTGCCTGCACCACAGCGAAAAAACCTTCCCTCTCCCTCTCTCGGACAGACCAAAAAGACTATACAAAATTAAAAGAACCCAAACCAAACCAAATTCCAAGTAACACACATTTATATATATATATTTAAAATTATATACAAGATATCACCCACAGGGAACCCCCCAAAAGAGAAAAGGAAAGGGAAAGGAAAAACAGAAGAAAGGGAAAAGTGGACAAAACCCAAATACTTTCCTCAAGATAGCAGAGAACCACACCAAACAACTGCTGGCACTATCTGCTTCTCCAGGCCAACCAGGCCTCACTCCTTCGCCTGGGCACAATGACAGCAAAGAACTTTCGCCTTCAGTCGACCGGAAGAAAGAGAGCGAGAGCTTCCTCTCCCTTCTTATTTATACCTTGCTTATGTAAAAATTGTATGGAATACTGGGAACATGGCCTTGGTTCCTTGGTTACAACCTGGTTACCAAGGAAGGCCTGGACTCAAAACCACTACAGTAGAGTAAATCTCTCCTTAAGGAAAAATAATCCTCTGAGTAGCAGTAGGAGAACACCAGGGAACAGTCAGCTTCAGATAGCTTTTTAACTTGTGTTGAGACACCAGTCATAGAGAACCACAAAGGATGAGGTGACACAGCGTTTCAAGAAACCAGAAATTACTACTGATAAAAAGTATTAAGACTCCCATCACTGCCAGTATCCACTTTCCCTCTGATTTGTTAAGAACCCTAAATCTTTACCTTTGGAAATGCAAAGTTTTATTTCTTTAGCAATTACTCATCTTATATGGAACCTAAGAGAATTTAGTCCATAAGACCCTTCCTTGAAAAACCTGTAAACTGAAAGACAAACTGTTCGGTCCATAAAAGCAACATATGCTGAAAACACCCTGTCAGCTGCCTTTCAAAGTATTATATACATCATAGTAAGCTTTTTGAATCAGAAGGTCAGACTCTTAGAATACAGTTAACATTCTTCCAAGTGAAGGAATGGCCCTAGCATTTATTTTGAAACAGTAAAGCTTTGCTTTTTAAACAGCAGTTGGAAAACACAGCTCAAAGAAAAGATACCAGAAAAAATAATTTCACTGTCATTAGTCAAAGTGATGTCACCAGAAATATTTTAACGGCTACAAGACTTCTGACATTCAGAAGGAAAATTAGCTAGCAAAAGTCCTTAAGTACTTGAAAAATAAACAAATAACAGTATTTTCTCACAATTTAAAGGGGCAGAGTCAGCTTGAAACATCATTAAATTTCAGCCATGAGGTATTATTAATAAGCTTATTATTAAAAATAATTGATATACATATATATATTTAAAGACTTAATCATAACAGCAGTAGCCGATACAGAGTTCTACTTCCCTTCATTAAAACCTTCTATTTATTTAAAGATATGAAAAGCCAGAAAAAACACTACATGAGCAGCACAGAAGTTTTTAGTTCTCTTTCAAGAGTTGTGATAGCTAACACGTAGGAAAGAGTCACCAAATTTGACTTAAGCTGACTATGGCCCTTTCAAAATAAATGTGTTTTCAACGATAAGATTAATTCAAAGATGGAAAAGTGATAGATTTTGTACTGTACCTATCTTTGATCTGTCTGGCAGCCTTGATGCATGTCAGGAAGAAGAGAGAGAGAAAGTAGTTAGTATTTCCATGCAAGTATCCATGGCAGTAACATGCAAGAAGGCTGAGAACCATCTCCACTGCATTGCTCAGATTTTAAGATCAAAGTGAGCCTAACATTTTTATCAGAATAGATTGTCCCATTAAGCATGTTAATAGCATGTGTTAGCATGGCAACAGCATCTCACCTGAGAAAAAAAATCACTGATTTAAAGAACCACACCAAACCAATTCCGAATTACTCGACTTCCTGGGTGTGACTTTGTCTTTTTAACTGAACTGACAAAGAGAAGTCTACTCCCCATCACATTTTAAAGGAGCTACAGGACTAAGTCAGCAACATTTAGCTACCATGGTATTTTCTGTGAAGCTATGAAGTGCTTATTAGTGGCATGTGACCACACATGGCTTGTTTGGCTACACATCATAGGATGTATGCTCTGATAAACAAGAAAAAATAGGACTTGCTCTAACTTTTACTCGGAAAGTTATTAAACTTTTCCAACAAAACTTCCTGAACATTGTCTCTGTGTGCCACTATTCAAAAACGACATAGTTTTTCCCAGCACTTAAATGATACCCCTGAAGCAGATGCAGAAGTGGTGATGACATGTTTCAAAGATAAAGACTAATTGGCACTTGGAAAGACAAAAATTCCTATCCTTCACCAAGAGGAGTTATAAACCTAAACTAAAGTGTTATTGCTGTTTGGTATTGTAAGCTTCAGACTCCAAATTTGAAGAGACTTTCCCCCCAACAAACACTCAAATAGCTTTCCTTAGTCTCTTTTATTGGAAAAGAGTATTAGAGATATCTGAAATGAAACAACTTACAATAAAATATATGCTACACTCTGCAGAGAGCTAACTTTATTTTCTACACATCACTGTGACAAGACAGAAAGGACAACTCCAACTGAAGTCCTAAGAAAAATGCTCAGCTTAAGGAATTGTTGCTCTTCAAACTACATAAATCAAAGCTGACACCCAGAAAGCAGGACAGCACACAAACATGCTGCCAAAAGCTAAAACCGACACAGTAAGACAGCTTTCCTCCTCACTCTTTTAACAAGATTTGTGTCCTTGTTCCCACTAAAATGCAGGAAGAAAAGAAGTAATTTGGCCTTGGATTTGGTGTGGCTGATCCCACTACTACCACAAGGATTACTGTAGCAAACATTACTGTACTGATTCAGTGTATGTGGGGAACTGCTTACTTACAAGCATATTCTTCCAGTTAGATACACGTTACCTGATTTACAAATCTGCTGTGGTAAAGAACAAATTATCTGTATTGGTATCAAAATGCAAGGCCCAAATCCAGGCTCTTGTCTACACAAATGTATTGGGAGGTTTGGGGGAATATACAGAATTCAGTTTTAAACTTAAGTTCTGAACTGAATCCATATTTTGCAAGATCATTCAACACAGCTGCAGAGTTCAGGGTTACAAATTAAAGATCCACAGTTTGCATCAAGTTCTTGTCATCAAGATCTTATCACCCACAGACAGAATCCAGAGACTGTCTGCAAGTGTTGTGGAACAGCACTGGGAATGAACAGGTCACTTTGAGTGCTGGCCATTACACATTTTCCAAGTCTTTACTCAGCTTTAGAGAGATTTATTTCACCTTCATTTCCTGGATTCATCAGTGCAAGTTTCCTTAACAATGGCAGTTGTCTGGGAGAAGGCACTGCTTTCCTTCCCTGCTCACTCTGAATAACAAAAAAACCCCTTTATTTTGTTAGAAATTGCATAAAAATTCAAGACTGTAGTGCTTGACTTGGCTTCTTCAACAGAGCAATAACTTTATTTTTATAACTGTATTTTTATATGCTTCTCTATCCTTACTGTCAGTACACCTGGTAAGTTTACAGGGTCCAGGAGAGTAATGGAAAGGATATTTCAAATGGAGATGGATACCAACATCTGCCTTACGCCCATCTGCTCAATGTTTTCTACCTCTAAGAGTTTTGCAGGGTTCTTTATGTCCAGAGACTGCACAGCAATTTCCAGCAGCTCTTCAGAACTCTCCAGGGCGTGACTACATTGGCTAAGCTGATCCTGAAGCAAAAACAGAGAGAACAATTTGATGTATTCACATTTAAAAAAGTGGTTTATGAAGTACCAGTCCTAGAAACTATATGGCTTTATTATGCATTTGTAACAACTTATTACCTTATATAATCAAGGTGATTACCTCTGACACAGCATGCAACCAAAACTTCACTGTGCTTGACAAGTGCACAGTGATACACGCCACATCCTACAACTCCAAAGGGGAAAAAGCTGGATAGGTGGTGAAGTCTCATTTAAAAGCCAGATTTAATTTCAAGGCCTGTTTCTCCCAGAAAAAAATCAAGATTTCAAAAGTAAAGAAATAAACACTTGTATTCTTGTGCATACAATTTCTATTTACAGAACTGCATACTACTCATCTACAAATGACAGTGTTTATCGTAGCAGTAGCCTTGAAAAAGGCAATGACTTTTTCCCCAACCAGCTCCAAAACTGTCACAAGACAATCCTGAAAAATCAATATTGCTATATGACAGATGGGAATAGCAGAGGAATGGGAACAGAGGAAGTTTAAAAGAATTTTACAAATGTAGTTATACAGTTACCTGCAGAGCTTGAATTTTACGAGCCTCTTCTTGCTGGATAGTGTTGGCCATACTCCCCTTCATCTCATGCAATACAGAATATAGACCATCAAATTCTTCATCCAGCTCGCTGATTGCATTGGAAGAGTTTAGCTAAGAAGAGAATTGAAAATGCTGTTTACATTGGAGAGGATGCAAACTAGCCTTTTAGACTGAAACTCACATTATTTGCCCACAGATGTTTTGCCGTGACCACTAGATACCTTGTGACTGCCCTTCCACTTATCAAAAGGGAAAAAGCATTATGAACAATGGACAAATCCTAAGCAGACACTACAGCGGAACTCTGGATACTGAAATCCATGAAAATTCCATGATACTCAAACTTGCATAGAACCAGCATAGGTGGCAGTTTCGTTCCATGCCAAGAAAAGGCTTCATTTCCCTCCCACAATTATACATGGCTTGCAAATGTTTGGAAGGAGGTAGTTATCCAGTTCCATGTAAAGTGATTTCACTTCATACTAAAAACTGCACTAAAGACATCAATTTAAAGATTTGCTGGACAATTTCCATTTCTGCAGTTAACTTTTCTCAGCTTTAGCATGAAACAACTTATGGCTGATTGACAGACTAAAAGAACCTAAAACTCATGCTCATATACATGCTTTAACAGCTAGGCCTAACTTTCAGCTTAAGTCCAACAATTTGCAACTACCAAAAAGCAAAAGAGCAAATAATATTCTCTCAAGTACCACGATGACCTCATTCTTCAGCTTGCCCAACAGAGTAGAAGTCTAAAAAACAGAGTACTTCCATTTAACAGAAGTTTGAGATCTTGCATCAGAATCCAGATTCTCTCTTCCATACAAATGAAGTTCTACAACAGCTTTTCTCGTGAGATGCAACATCACCACGCATTTAATCTAGAGACAGACTTCTGACATGCAGATGTATTTTGAACTTGATTCTTACAGCCCATCCCTTAGACACCATACAGTTTGGGACTAACTAAACTGTAAAGGTGCTCCCCTCTCAGCTACAAGTTATGAGCCATAATATATATGTACCTGAACATTTGATATTGTGTGGTTCAGCATGTCGATGAAGTTGTGAATTTCATCATTTTTATTCACTAGAGTACTGACAATCCTCTGCAGAGTCTCCTAGAATTACAAAAACAAATGAGAGAGGTTGTAAAATCACCTTGCGATTTTTTTGTTCATCACCATTTCAACATACATGAAAACTCATCATACACGTCCCAGTTGTGTCAAACTCAACTCGCGTTCTGATGAGATCAGGAAATGCATTTTGTTAGAAAAGGGAAAGGATACCACCGGCCTAAGAAGCATTCCACCGAACTGAAGATCTCCAGGTGTTAGTCTGAGGGAAGTCAAGAACCTGTTTTATAATGCTCCACTGTTCCACATGTTTTGCTAAGCAAGTCACCTACATCAGAACACCTCTGGCATACACAATTTCTCCAGATGAGGAAGGCAGTGCTTGAGCAACAAACAGAGAACTAACAAAGCAAATTAAAAAAGCTGGTAAAAGGTAACACAGAGGAAAAACTAGCATTTCCCAGTGTTGAAAGAAACTAGTGTTAAATAACTAAGCTGACAGTTTATGCTATATACAGAAATAAACCTGTAGCAGTGATTTGTAAACTTATTCTACAAGTGGCAAAATAGTTTGGGTGAATAGTCATATATTCCAATTAAAAGTGACCTCAAAGAGGAAAGCTTTCTGAGAGCGGAGAAAGAGAATTAACATTATTTCAGTGATGTACTAATCCAGACGTTCAAAAAGCAGTAGATTCAGCTTACAAAACACATACAAGCAGGCAAAACTATTACGTATATCAAAAAGTATTCTAAATTAATTAATACTATCAAGGCTAATTTTGTTGAGTAGTCAGTCACATATTCTAAGAATTTGACAAAAACACATAAATGTGTGGTACTCAAGTCAAGTTGTTCAATTAAAGCTCAAAGCATATCACCATATGTAAGTAAAAATAAAGAACAAGGTGAGGAAGCAACTAAGAATTTTCTGTAATTTTACTTCAGGCTGGTTGATGAGAAGTTTCGGAAGTAAACCTAACTCTAAGACGCTAGATTTGGGTCTTAAAAAAAAAAAGTAATCCCTGTCCTAATTAATAAATTTTGATCACTAGACTCAGAGTTTCAATACCTCAACCTAACACTGTTACTTGACAACATTTAGGAAATCAAGGCATGGAGAAATAATAAACATGCTTTAAAAACAGCCAAACCACCAAAGGGATGTTGCAGAAGTTCATTCCACAAGCAATTCCTTAATAACCATGTACTGTTTAGATCACATTTGTCTGCTGGAAAGCAAGAAAAATATTTTATCCTTTCCCATCATCCACAGGGAACCTCAACACTACATTCAGTACAAGGAACTTCTCCCCTAGTCCTAAGCCATGCTCCCTCCTCTTTCTTCTGATCCCTTCCTCAGCAGTTTCCAACAAATTTGCAATTAGGTATTTATTAGTATCCCAGCCCACTGTTTTCTGGTGTCATGCTCACAAAGTTAAACCACTGGCAGAGGAATCTGAAACTTTAGTGCTTTTATCACAGGTGTTGATGGTCTAACATGCAGAGGTAACAGACCAGCTCACAGTGGCTGAAGTAAGGACTCTGAGAACAGAAACAAGATCCTGGCTTCTCTCAGAAACAAGAGTAGGCAAGTCTTGACCACTTCATTACTGAACTTTTTTGTTGTCTGGTGAAAACTGAGCATGTCTAAAGGCAGTTTTGTGTACATTAGAATGGCAGATGAATCACTATTGTCTAACCAGCTGCTTCTGCATTCACCACTGACCAGAGGCAATTGTTTTCACATGCCAGATAGCCTGGAGATAAGCCTTAGATCCTATGAGCAGAACTGTCAATTTGGATGAACACAGAAACTCACAATCCTCTTTCAGCAAGGATCTTAGGGCTTATTCAGTTGCAACACATGGGGAAAAAAAAGTCTTCTTGTATATAATGCTGAACAATGTTGTTGGGTTTTATACGTTATGATTAAAGACAAAGATCTATGTGTGAAGATAACTTAAAAAGTGTTCAGATATGCAAAAACATAGCAACAACTAGAATACAGCTGTTCACTTCTAGACGCAGAGAGGCCCCTCATAAAAGTTAAAGAGTAAACTTTGGTAAATTAAACAATTATAGCATTTCTATTCAAGAGGGAAGCTATCAACTTGCTCAAGATCATACTGAAGGCTTATGACCTGTCTGCATACAGAGCAGTTTCTGTAGCAGTCCTGGGCCTAGGACAAAATCGTGAGACGTTTTAACCTTCACATTCAGATCAAATTTCAAAGAGGACATGCTTACTTCACCTCCATTAATTTAATCTTCTGCATTTGTCAACACATTGAAGTTGCCAAAGTTTGAAGGAGAACTTCATACAGTACAGGTGACAGTAGCAAATTTAATACTGTTAGAGAAAGTATTGTAAAGTGAGATCCACCACAACTTTGCTACTGTATTCAGAAGCTCTGCGCAGCATGGAAATTCAAACATGACCCCATTCAGAAACATCCACTTAGAGTACCCACGACAGCTGCAGCCCTCATTTACTCCTCTTCCAGAGAGACTAATCTCACATAGATCAGGCAAAGACAGACTCAAATTCACATAGTTCCTACCAGAAGCACACTTTATTGCCATTTCACATCTATCTCACCTTCCAAAGTACATGTTCAGAGACATTAGTTGCTTAGCATAAATAAGTTTTAAGTAGAATGAGTTATACAGAGTTACAATACTGTGTGATTTGGCATAGTGCTTGCTTAGGATGAGCAGCTGGATTTGCTGACCACAAGCTGTGAACTCACACCAAGATCTGCTGTCAGCTGGAACAGAGTTAATTTCCTCAGTAATTTTCCTAGTAGCTGGCACAGTGCTGGGTTTTGGCTTTAGGATATGAAGCTGATGTGAATACTGATAAAATACTGATGTTCCAGTTGTTGTTAAGTAAAGTAAAATTTACCACAAGTCTGGGGCTTTTTTAGCTTCCCATGCTCTACCAGCAAGCAGGTGCACTGGGAGCACAAACCAGAAGACAAGGAGGATACAGTTGTCAGCAGAAACTGCAACTCAACAATGTAAGAACAGTGAAGAGCCTGCCTGTGTGCATACAGAGAAAGAATCCCAAGAGGTGTCAGAGGACCCCAGACCAAAAATCAGCACCAGACCAAGCGCATGTGAGGTGCAGGTGCAAAGTCATCAGAGTATACCTGGGAGGGGATTTATTTGTTTTGGGTCCCAGGCTGAGCTGACCTGCTGCCGTACCACCCTCTTAAGGGATTTATTTTGATAACTCTGACACCCGAAGACTCTATTACGGGAGACCTGAGGCTAAGCCTGAAGAAGCTGCGACTCTTTGAATGGTGTGAGAATGTTCAGGCAGGAGCTTCTCCTCTGGCAGAGCACAAACACTTAACTGAAGTAGCAAACACCCCCATTCTGTAAGTTTCAAGCCATCAGTAGCGCTAAGTCACTCTGACGCCACTCACAAGCCAGTTTCCAAGCTGCCGAAAGCACAGTCCTCACAGAGACAGTAACAGAAGCCCTTTTGCACGGAGAGACTGAGAGCCAAAAGGCTAAGTCACAACTTTTTGCAGAGGAGCATCAGTTTAGAAAGCCCCAACCCTTGGCCAGTGATCTCCCCAAGGGGGGGTGATAGCAAGTAAAGGAAGGAGTAAATTGTAGGGCAGGATACACCGGGAAAAGAAACGCCACAAAACGCTTTAATGCATTAATTCCCTTCAACTCTAGATTGCATCAGTGGCAAACAGAAGGGCTTACACATGCACCGTAATCACTTACGACAGGGATAACACAGGGTGAAAGGGCTCCGCAAGCTGCCGCACTTCCTTACAGAACCACGGGAATCTTTTGGGTTGGAAGGGACCTCTGGAGATCATCCAGCCCAACCACCCTGCCCAGGCAGGGTCACCTGGAGCAGGTGGCACAGGAACGCGTCCAGGTAGGTCCAGGATGTCTCCAGAGAGAGGGAAACATTCCTTGTCTGCAGGTATTCCTTGCTCCCGCAACACCGGCGAGGAGCGGGCAGACCCGGGGAAGCCCCTCTGAATGCGTATCCCCCGAATTCCTCTCTTGCGCCACTGCCCTCCCATACAACTCCCTCCTCCACCACCCCCCGCCTCGGCAGTCAGGCCGAGCGCCGGGAAACGCCAACACAGCCGGGAAAACGCCCCGCCGACCACCCCTTAACCCCCACCCCGAGTCCCGGCGCTGCCCGCCCGGCCCGGCCCCGCGGGACTCACGCGTTCCTCGTCCATGGCGGCGGGGGCAGCGGGAGAGACGCCGGCGGGATGCGGGATGGAGGGATACAGGGATGCGCTCCCCCCCCCAACCGGGATAAACGGAGGCGCGGCCCCGCCCCGCCCGCACGGAGCGTGCGCGCGCCTGCGCGCCCTCCGCCGCTGCCGGCACCCCGGGTTCGAGTCCCGACACCGACCGGGCCGGGGTGCGGTCTGAGGAGGAGTGTCCTGGGCCAGGAGCGCGGGGTTGGAGTGTCTGTCAGGCGTACTGAGCCTGCTTAGTGTCAGTAATGCGTACACAGATCTCCGAGGCGGGTGCCAAGAGGATGGTCTCAGCCTGTTTTCAGCGGTCAAGGAGCAGTGGCCATAAACTGAAACACAAAAAGTTCCACCTCAACATGAGGAAGAACTTTCCACTGAGGGTGGCAGAGCACTGGAACGGGCTGCCCAGGAACATTCATCACAGTGGAGGGATTTTGCCACCTGCCAGCGAAGGTGGCAAAAGATGCCTCTTTAAAACCCTCTCTGCCTCTGTGAGTCCTGTCTCACCATGGTTGTACCTTCTTTGAAAGCAATGCACAAATCCAGAGCAAGAGGAAGTGCAGAGGCAATGAGGTGGTGTCACCTGCCAAGAGGCATAGCTCCAATCTTCCCAGCTTCATCCAGAGATCTCCTGGGACTGCATTAACTGGCACAGGCTGGGCCTTGGCTGAGATTTGGACATTTATGGTGTCTCCCAGGTACCTGATAGTTTATTTTTTCCCATTAACACCCACAGCCTGTGCTAGTAGTTTCCATTCAAAACTATTTGAAAAAAGAGGAAGAAAAATCATGTCTGGTCATGAGACACCTCAGGCAGAGTCAAGGAGACTTACCATGACCATGAGCCCATGAATCAGAAGCACTGATATTTATCCCCAAATTTTGTTTAGCAATAAAATACTAAAATCCAAAGGGATTTTTCGTGTTTTGGCACAGGAGAGAAGTTGGCAGCGGAGTCAGATATAGTGGCTGTGGTTACCAAGGCTGCCAGTAACACCGGCCTCAGGAAGGGGCACATCTGGCTCTGAAACCCTCTGCAATGTGTTGGGGTGGGTGTTTAAATTGATTTCTGCAGCTGTGGGCCCACTTCTTAATTCCAGATCTGGACTATGTGGAAAGATTCAACCACACATCTTTGTATATGCCTTCTCATTTATAAACTGCAGAAGGGCCACCATAGAGAATTACTCCACAGTTTTATGGGTTCCTTCACCACTCTTGTGAACACAAGTCCAGAGGAAGCCACAAAAATGTTTAAAGGGATGAAGCATATCTCATACAAGCAAAGGCTGAGAAAATTGGGATTGTTCAGACTGGAGAGAAGAGAGATTTTTGGTGTGACCTAGTAGCAACCTTGCAGTACCTGAAGGAAGCCTAAAGGAAAGATGGAGAGGGACTTTTGACAAGGCCATGTAGTGACACGACAAGGGGAAATGGATTCAAACTAAAGGAGAAAAGGTTTAGATTAGGTATTAGGAGGAAGCTCTTCCCTGTGAGGGTAGTGAGGCCTGGCACAGGTTGCCCAGAGAAGCTGTGGCTGCCCCATCCCTGGAAGTGTTCGAGGCCAGATTGGGCGGGGCTTGGGGGAACCTGATCTAGTGAAAGGTATCCCTGCCTATGGCAGGAGGGTGGAACTACATGATCTTTAAGGTCCCTTCCAATCCAAACCATTCTATGAATCTTTGAAATTGAGCAACGAAAGACCTACTAAGAATATTTTCTTTTTAGTTGTTTGTGTTCTTTTTTTCCCTAATGGGAAGTTTTTAAAAGGGAAAGGACTGATGAGAAAAATACTTCAGATGATTAGAGTTGGTCCTTAAGGAACCTGTAATGACTTACTGCTCCCTTATACACTGGGAAATTGGGGAACATGACAAGAACATGTGCAATTTCTTGGAAGCCCCTGGGAGCCTGGGTCCTGGACAAGTGGATGGTCACTGAACTAAAGTATGGGCAGAAATGCTGCTGGCAGGATGCTAGAGGATGCTGGTAGGATGCTAGATCTTGTGAGTTAAAGTTGGTGGCATATTTTAAGCCTAAAAAAGAGATATCACAGAAAGAAGACTCAAAGAAAATGACAAGAAGTTGGAGAAGGGGGAAATACTTCAGGTTCCTAAAACAAGAATGGACCAACTTGACTAATCACAGAATAACTAGAAGTTGCATTTAAATTGCGTCCACCCAGGATGGTGTATTAGATGCATCTATTTGTCAAAATTTTATTTAAAACTGAGGTTAGAAATGTAAGAAAGGACTTTTTCCCAAAGACATTTTCTCCTGGCACCAAACATACTGCTTTCTTATATTTAACACCTGAAGCATAAACCAAGATTCAGCCTTACCTAGCAACCTCCTAGAAGCACTTGTTACCTTGAGACTCATGAGAATTAGAATGTTAATATTCTATTCTTCTTGCTCCAGGCATAATTTTATGCCATTGTTGTATTTTCTTCAAATGATAGTTGGACCGCAGCACTTATTATTTGCAGTGCCAAATAAATCTCTGTATTGTAAGAGGAGGAAGCAGCAGGTTGTTGCGTTTCTGTATGGATGAAGGCTTGAAAATAGTTAAAACTGATAGTAAAACTCTCTCTGAGAAACCAAGCTAACTAAACAATAAGGGAGGAAGGAGGCTATGGATGGCCTTTTTGACGTAGTGTGTTTGCTTTGAGAAGGCTGGACTCTGTGACAACTGCCTACAGACACTGGAGTTGCTTATATGCAACTCATTGTGGCTCTGTTATCAAGTCACCTTTCTCCTTGTGCAGCTCAAAGTCACTCTGACTTTGAAAAGGTCTTTTTTTGGTGTTTTAAACAATCCCACAGGGCCACTCACTCCTACCATCGACTTGGAGCCCTTCTGTGTTTTTTGAGGGTACATGTGGACATATACCAAAGCAAGGAGCAATCCCAGACAAACTGACCCAACAGGCTTTTTTTGTTAATGAAGACTTTTCTTCCTGCATCATTTTTCTTTTTTTCTTTTTTTTTTTTTTTCCCTATTTGAGAAGAAGGTCAGAAACCATCAGTACAACCAGTCAGTTAGAGGGAAGATCAGTGGAGCAGCAGAGAATCCTGGGTGCCTCGGTGTATGGGATAGAAAACCATCTAAGAACAGTAAAGACTTCCCTGGCTTTTTTGCCAGCAAACTACCCAAAATAGCTGAACCGGCTAGCAGGGCTTTGTGGGCCACACCCAGGGCTTCCTGGAAGTCCCTGTGGATAGGCTAAGAGATCGTGACAGTTTTTGATTATGCTTTGTTACCTGAATGAGCACCAAAGACTCAAAATTCAGTCTGACGATGGCTCAATGCAGTGTTTCTGTCATGACTCAAGAAAACACAATTTGTGAAATTTCCTTCTCCCCTCTGACAATTTCTGTCATTTCTCTTGGGGTGTTTTGCCGCATGTCAAGAACAGAGGACAGTAGGGAGACGAAAACAGGCTTTCCCTCTGTTCTTTGAATCAGTCACTGTGCTGAGGGAAATACAGTAAGGTTTTATTTATGTGCATGCAGACAGAGAAGGCTGTGGCTATCAAATCTGCTTTATTGTTTTTACAGGCTCTGCAACCATTTAAAATTAAAATCTACACACACACATTGGTTTGCTGTAAGAACTGTGTGTGTTGTATACTTACTGTAGTAGAGCTTTGGGTTTTGATGAATTTTCTTAGTAGTTCTTCCAGTTAGAAAGGGAGGAGAGTAAAATCTGTTCTGAGACTCAAAAAACTTCTTTTTCTGCCCTGGAATGCACATTAAAATCTACTGCATTTCTGGTTTTATATACACATTGTGGTTTAATCCCAGCTGCCAACCAAGCCCCACACAGCCACTCTCACTCCTCCAGCAGCAGGATGGGGAAGACAATCAGAAGGGTAAAAGTCAGAAGACTTGTGGGATGATATAAAGATAGCTTAACAGGTAAAGCCCCTCACACAACCAAAGCAAGCAAGGAATTCATTCAGTGCTTCCCATGGGCAGGAAGGTGTTCAGCCATTCTTGGGAAAGCAGTGTTCTGTCATGTATTAACAAAGACTTGGGAAGACAAATGCCATTCCTCCAAATGTCCTCCCCTTCCCTCTTCTGCCCCCAGCTCTACATGCTGAGCCCAACATCATGTGGCCTGGAATATATGGTATATTGCTTTGGTCAGTTGGGATCAGCTATCTCAGCTGTGTCTCTTCCCAGCTTCTCATGCATCCCCCAGCCCCCTTGGCATCATAGCATAGGAGAAGTTGAAAAGGCCTGGATGATGTTCAAGTGCTCTTCAGCAACAGCAAAAATATCTCTATATTGTCTTATGTTTTCAGCACAAGTTCAAAATACAGACCCATACCAGCTACTGTGAAGCAAAAACCAAACCAAACCAAAACAAAACAAAAAACAAACAAACAAACAAAAAACCTGAAACTTGGATTGCTCTTCACTTAGTGATACCCTCATGCCAGTATAAATGAGGTGTCAAATTAGGGTTTGAAGCTTTAAAAATAATGTTTTCCTCATTTAAAGCACTGTAAGTCAGTGGTAAGTCTGTGTTAGGGACACTGGATTGCAAAGAGGGAAGAAAGGAGTTCGGTGAGATTGATGTAAAAACCACTATCGTCACTCAGCACACAATAGATCAGGATTGGCAGGATGAAATATTTTTTCACCCCAGCTCCAACTTGACATCATCAATGTGACAGAAAAGCTTGAAGTCTGAATCCACTAAGGACACATGCTGCACCAGGTAGCAGAGTGCCTGTGCTGGCTCACTCTCCCTTGCTCCATGCAGCCTGAAGTTCGAGCTTTGGGTATCTCTGAGGGGAAAGGAAAATAAGAAAAAAAGAAATGTGTCATGGAGCATCTCCTTTATCAGCTGCAGCACTTGGATTTGGAGATTTTGCTCATTGCCTCTGTAGAAACCTGACTTCTGTGAGCACAACTGGGAAGGTGCACAACAGGCTGCCCCACAAGAGGTCCTATAGCTCATGGACAGGAGTATTGCTGGTCTGATGTTGAACCACAGACTCTTCCAGAGGACATAAACATCCTTCCTCATGCAGATTAATTTTGTAGTTTTGGTGA